CAACTCCTTCATGGCCACTCGCAGCCTGGGTAAGCTATCTCCTCCAGACTTTAAAACAATTTAATGGGGGGGGGGGGGGGGGCTGAACCATTACTAGAGGTTAAGACGTTATTTCTGGCGTGACTCGAAAGTTCAGCCCGCGTTATTTGGCTCGCGCGTCGAAAACAACGCGAGTGACCTGCAGCAACCGTCGAAATTTGGAGTTTTACGCCAAATTTGATGTGAAATTGCGCGTCACGTCGGATATTATAACGTGCATCTTAACCTCTCTAATACCTGAATGTTCTCTGGCTGGTATTTTATGTTGAGTTTGAAGGAGATAGTATTTCATAGTCTGAGCACTATGTCAATGGTTGAGAGGGGTACCCTAGCACCAACATATGTTCTCTCTCCCCCCGTTCTTCTCTGTGTCCATGCATATGCCCGCACAGTGTGCTGTGTTAGATGTCAAAACCAAAAATACACAGTACTCAGTCATGGAGATACTGATAAGCAGTTATTTAGAGTGCAAGTACTGCAGTCTAGAAATGTTCAAGACTATGCAGGCATGCGTTTGGATTATGGCCCTGTGGCCGACTACATTTTTGTTCCGCCTGCATTCCTGTATGTAATTGTTGACCCGGCTGCAATCCCGTGTTCTGTTGCTTGCATGCAATCCTGTGGGTTGCATTTTTTAGACATGTCCCGTCATCCGCTTCCAGCCAGTGACACGATCACGCTGACCATGTCGGATGGGACGTCGGTTGTTATCCACTACCTGGTCACATATCCCATGACGGATCCGGCCGCCAGGGACCCACTGTACCGCGTCCCTAACTTGCGACAGCAGTTTGACCATCGCATTGATTACACAGGCTACTACCCGGTCTATGAGCACATTTTGAAAGGAGAGGGTGAGCCGTCCGGGCAAACTGACCGCAGGCGGCGCTCCGTATCAGACATAGTCCAAGATGTCATGCACAGGCTCAGGGACCAAGCTACGGCACGTCACTCACGGGCGACACCGTCGGGTGGCCAGACTCCCAAGAATGATGACCCGTATATGGGAACGGCGAGAGCTGATCATGAAGGTAGGTCGCAGTGAACTGACTGACATAGGGTTTGAAATGTGATTGCAGAATGAGAGGACCCTGGACACTGCTCATCCTCACCAACCATGATGTCTTGCTTGTGTCATCAACGGAACTTGGTTACCTAGGTAAAAGGTTTTTTTTAATATAAAAAGCCAAATGCTGCTGGTATTATACTATAATGTCTCTATGTCCCTATTTGCCTGGGTTAGTTGCATTGGCTCGCATGACTCTTGCTCCGTGTTTTCAAACTCCGGAGTTCTTCAGTTCTGTTCAGACTTCCTTGTACAAGGTGACATCGTCGTTTCGGTCTCTTGTTGCCTAGTTGTGGTGTCCAGTCCCTGGGCGGGCTGGAATTCTGAGTGCTGTATCCGCGGAGTGCCGGGTTTACTCAAATTTTCTCAAATTTTCCCACGCTGAGGCAAGAGATGTCGCGCAGGTCCGCCAGGTCATCTTCTAGCCCCTACGCTAGAGCAACATCCTCCCCTGCTCCTGGAACCACCCAGGCCAGAGCCCCGGCCCAGAACCTCGCGCCGCCTCGTGCTCCTCGTGCTTCGGCTCTACCTGGCCAAGTGCCTCCGTCTCAGTCAATGCCGGCCGGCCACCCACCCCAGCCCACGCTGGCGAGCCAGATCTCCGCCGCCGTGGCTGTTGCTATTCAGCCTCTGGCCGACAAGGTTACCCTGCTGGAGCAGGCTGGCGCAGCCCAACTCGCCGGCCCAGGAACTGGCGTAAACTCGGGACTCGCTCATGTTCCGACGGTCAGCGGGGCCTCGCTTTGTGCTGCCGGATCAATCGCCACTGCAGCGCCGGTTTTACCAGTATCAGTACCGGCTGCCAGCCACCCGACACAACAGTGGCCGTCATCTGGAGACCTCCCCGTGGTGCCGCCTCGCCTTCGAGACCGGATTGTGCGAGGTGAGTTCACAGAATTAAGCGATTTGCTGCCTGAATCCCTGGGCTTCGAGGGGGATCATGATGTGATGCAACTCGACGTGGGCGCGGGCCGATCTGTGCAGCTCGTCCCCAAATCTTCCCACCGGCAACCCGCCAAACGACACATCTATGATCTTGCCACATGGGTGGAAGCGTTCACCACATACTCGAGGGTGCTGGCCGACGCCTCACCACAGCTGGCAGGTGATCTCTGGGCGTATCAGGCCATCATTGTCGATGCCAACATCCGGTTCCACAATGATGCCTGGCTGTCCTACGACCGCAAATTCCGTATGGCCACGGCGTCCCTCCCTCACCGCTATTCCTGGTCCGTCATTGACCCGAACCTGTGGCAGTCTTGTCTCACGGGCCGTGGGCGGCCTCCGTGCCAGCGTTGCTCCATGGTCCATCCAAGTCAGCCCAGCAGCTGCCCCTTTCGTGGGGGGCTCCCAGCCCCAACAGCGCCTACGGGGAGCCAGTTCTCGCACCAGCCTGGCTTTGACGGCAAAGCCATCTGTCGTAATTTCAACTTCGGCAGCTGCTTGCTCTCCCCCTGCTCCAGAGCACACGTCTGCATCCAGTGCCGCGGCCGTCACCCCGCACGCCAATGCTCCAAGTCTGGTGACTCGACCAAGAAATAACTCTCACCCCAGTGGTGACGCTGCTTTACAGGTGCCCACTAGCACGCCTGTTCATGTTCAGCGCTTTATCAATCTTCCCTCTCCTCATCCAAATGCAGTATTTCGCTCTTATGGTTCACAAGGCATGCAGTATGGCTTTCGTATTGGCAGCTTTCGCCCCATTGCATCTTCTGTTATGTCTCCTAATCACTCTTCGGCTTGTGCTTGCCCTGCTGAGGTTACTACTCATCTGCTTAACTGTTGTGACCGCGGAGAAACTGCGGGCCCATTTGCATCTCCGCCATTCCCTCACATGCATATTTCTGGTTTGGGTGCTATCCCGAAGTCTGATGGCAAACTGCATATCATCCACGACCTCTCGCCCCCTGCCGGCTCGAGTGTGAATGACGGTATATCTCGGGATGAATTCAGCCTGCAGTACGAAACTGTCGATACAGCTATCTCTCTGATCATGCAGGCAGGGTGTGGCGCTCTTTTGACGAAGGTCGACAGGAATGCATTCCGTCTCTGTCCTGTTGCCCCCTGTGACTGGCCTTTTCTGGGCATCTTCTGGCAGGGACAATTCTATCATGACAAAGTGCTACCATTTGGATTGCGTTCTGCACCATACATATTCGATAAATTCGCCACAGCAGTCCAGTTTATTCTCGAGGATGCATGCCACCTAAGCCAATTACTCCCCTACCTGGACGACTTTCTGAACGTTAGTCCGCCCCACCTGCCCGTTGCGGAACATCATCGCTCACATATCTTAGACATGCTCCGCTATTTGCAGATACCGGTGGCCTCTGAGAAGGTCGAAGGCCCATCCACATGTCTCACCTTCCTCGGCCTGGAGCTGGATTCGCTGACGTTTGAGATCCGGTTACCGTCCGCCAAACATGGGGCGTATCTCGGCAAAGTCAACGTCCTCCTTCAATCAGGCATGGCGTCCCGGCGCGAACTCGCCTCCGTGTTGGGCAATCTCTCGTTCGCGGCCCGGGCTATTCCTGTCGGTCGTACCTTCCTGAGGCGCCTGTACGACCTTGACCGTGCAACAAGCAACCTTCCAAAGCACAAGGTTCTCTCTGGCAATAGCACCGTCATCCAGGAGGACATACTCAGCTTCAGAGCGGCGGTACCTGGATTTCTGTCAGCAGCATGGCGTTGTGGCCCTGCCGGGAAGCGACGTTCCACTGTGCTACTACGCAGCCCTCCTCATGCGCACACTGCGGCCGGCCTCGGTTCGCACATATATGTCAGCCATCTGGAACTTACACGTCGAAATGGGCCTCGAGTACCCGAATCAGCCGACGTCCCTGCTGTCACGAGTGTTAAGAGGCATAGCCCGTTCGTCGGGACCTGGCCGCCCTCGTTTGCCTATCACAACACCCATCCTCCGGCAACTCTGCCAACGCCTCCAAGTTTCCTCCATGCGGCACTCAGTTGACCAGACAATGCTGCAGTGCGCCTTCACCCTGGCCTTTTATGGCTTCCTGCGCTGTGGTGTGAGCTCACCTCGTTGACGTTTGGCAACGTGGCCCTGGACCAACAATCATTTCGTATCACCATCACGCTGCTGCAATCAAAGACGGACCCGGACGGTAGGGGCACGGTAGTCCACGTGGGCGGCTGTACCGATGTCATCAGCTGCCCTGTTACGGCGATGGTGCGGTACCTGACGGCAGTGTCGGCAGAGTCCCAATCTCCTAGAGATCAGCTGCTCGTCTACCACAATGGCCAGCCTCTGACACGAGCGGACGTCACGAGGGAGGTGCGGACCCTCCTACCGCTTTGTGGGATTACAGATCCGTCCAGCTATGCCAGCCACTCATTCTGGATCGGAGCAGCCACGTCTGCAGCTATCGCAGGCGTACCAGAGCACGTGATCCGCCATATGGGGCGATGGCGCAGCGACACCGTGCTGCGCTATATCCGTGTTGAGCCATCCGAGGTGCGGCTAGTACCAGAGAAGCTAGCCACAGTGAGTGACTGACCAGTAGCGCTGCACCTTGACGAATGTCTCCTCCGGTATACATACCAACTCTCAGTACCGCTATCGGTACCTAGATTTCTTGACTGCTAGAAGCTCCTGCTATACTCCTCGTTCAATGCTCGCGTTATTTCTGAGCACTGACTTATTTGGTTGGCCCACCAGGGTAACTAGCTTGGGCACTGAACTCTCAGTAGCTGGCAGCATTCTCTCTACTCTCCCGAATCACTCTATTCGGTTACTGCCCTTGGCAGGTCAGCCGCCATTTCGGTCTCACTCCGAATCACTCTATTCGGTTACTGCCCTTGGCAGGTCAGCCGCCATTTCGGTCTCATCTCGGTCCCCGCCTCTGTCGGGTCGGCCGCCTCCATGGTTACACACTGCCAGCTCCTTCGCCCAGTTACCCTGTGGTGCCAACCAACTACTGCTGTGTCTGTGTGTGGGTCGTGTATGCCTCCGCGTACGGAGCATGCGTTAAGAGCACATTTTGAAAGGAGAGGGTGAGCCGTCCGGGCAAACTGACCGCAGGCGGCGCTCCGTATCAGACATAGTCCAAGATGTCATGCACAGGCTCAGGGACCAAGCTACGGCACGTCACTCACGGGCGACACCGTCGGGTGGCCAGACTCCCAAGAATGATGACCCGTATATGGGAACGGCGAGAGCTGATCATGAAGGTAGGTCGCAGTGAACTGACTGACATAGGGTTTGAAATGTGATTGCAGAATGAGAGGACCCTGGACACTGCTCATCCTCACCAACCATGATGTCTTGCTTGTGTCATCAACGGAACTTGGTTACCTAGGTAAAAGGTTTTTTTTAATATAAAAAGCCAAATGCTGCTGGTATTATACTATAATGTCTCTATGTCCCTATTTGCCTGCTTTCAGGAACGCACAATGACCTGTTTTCGAGCACTTCTGGCAACATTCACGTCTTCCAGGTAGATGACACGGTTGTGTTCAAGATGGAAAGCTTCTCCGATCCCGAAGCATTGCAGAAGCTCTATGACGCTGCTGATCATGCTAAACGACATCGTCTCAGCAAGCTGGTCTTTGACCTGGCAGGAAATCCCGGCGGATACGTGAAGCAGGTATGTCGTACGGAGGCCGGTTCTCCTCCATCAAAAAAAGGAATCTACGTCAAGTAAAACGGTTTGTTTATTCATACTCACAACCTAGATTTATGCAGGCAGAAATAATTTATTACAGCACTCACCCTCTTTACTCGACATACCAACACCCACATACCCACTCACATACATGTAACTTTCTCATTTGCACCCTCTCTCCACTCCACCCATGCTCCAACACTGCTCGCTTTGTAACCATGCCTTCTGTAGTGCTATTGCTAGGATGCCAGTGCTTCTCGTGTTAGTTTT